ATTTAATGGTTTCCTGTCTCTCTCAAATTAAAATTTCAAGTCCTTAGAAAGGATTTTAAGGTCCTAAATCATTTGTCCCCTGCTCTGTCTCTGACATCATCTTTTTTTTTTTTGAGACAGAGTCTCACTCTATCACCTGGGCGGGACTGTAGTGGCATGATCTTGGCTCACTGCAACATCTGCCTCCTGGGTACAAGCAATTCTCCTGACTCAGCCTCCTGAGTAGCTGGGATTGCAGACACCCGCCACTACGCCCAGCTAATTTTTGTATTTTTAGTAGAGATAGGGTTTCAGCATGTTGGCCAGGTTGGTCTCAAACTCCTGACCTTGTGATTCGCCTGCCGCTCAGCCTCCCAAAGCGCTGGGATTACAGGCATGAGCCACCACACCTGGCCTCTGACATCATCTTTATCTACCCTCCCCCTTGCTCACTCTATTCCAGTCATACTGGCCACCTTGGTGTTTCTTAGGGACACCGGGTATACTCTCAGGACCTTTGCACTTACTGTTCCCTCCACCTGGAACACTCTAGCTCCAGAAGGCTCACTCCCTTATCTCTTCCCGGCCTTTGCTCAAATATTTTCTCAGTAAATCTGAACTTGACTGCCCTATTTAAATAGCAACCCTTTCTCCCATCCCAATCTAGTATTTCTTATTCCTCTACACTATTTTATTTTTGTCTTCAGCACTTATCACCCATCTCACACACTATATTTCTACTTATCTACTGGTTGTTTCTTTCCACTAGTATTCTCAAAATACTGTTTTGAGAGCAAAGACACTTATGTTTTACTTATTGTTATATTCCCACACCCAGGAGAGTGTCTGGCATGTAGAAATAACTCAGTACATATTATTGAATGAGTAAAGAATAAGTTTTAAATAACTTTTTTTGAGAAATTCTGCTATAAAAAGAGAGCACAGAAATGGATTGCAGGCAGGATGAGGTAAGGTTTAATTTTAAGATGTGTAATATTACAGAAAGCTTATATGCTAATAGAAATGATCTACTAGAGAGAAAAAATGTGATAATATAGGAGAAAAAGAAATATCTATATGAATCATATTAAGTAGGACATAAGAGATGACATAACTCAAAGAACTTCCTTTAGAGGGCAGAAAAGACAGCTTATAGAAACAGGAGAAAAGGTGAAGAATATGGCTACACATGCAGGTGGGTGGGATCATGTAAAATTTCTCTGATTGCTTATTTCCTCCTCAGCCAATTTCCTTTCTGCAATACTTGATATGAAAAAAGAGGCATTGGAGACTTGAGACACAAGAAGGTGTGAAACGATCCTCTAGAGACTGGAAGAGTGAATTAATTAAAGGAAGGTAGCAGGGTTGCCAGACTCACTTACATTTAGTTGTCATGAATTTCAAATGAGACCAATCAGCATGGTAGTGTGTTTGCTCCAGCATCTTCAGATACATATGCAGGAAGGTGTAGAGTTAGATTTCAGCAGGGTTAGTACTTTGCCAGGCAAATATGAAGCAGCAGAGATGAGTAAGATTGTTGATGGTGTATATAATAAAGGAATTATAATGATGGACCATGAGGTCTAGGCTGGGTAAGATGGGATGTGAGGGCAAGGGGTGAGAGTAGGATGGGTATAGTCAGAAACATTGCAAAGGTGATAAAGTAAATGAATTGGCCATTCCAGTGAAGAATTTTTGATTTGGGGAATAAATCATAAGATAGGAGCTGTTAGTCAGAGAGGACATTTGAAAATTGGATTATGGAAGGATGCAGTTATTGGCAATAACAAAGTAAAGGGCCTTGAGTAGTTGGCTGAGATAAAGTGGAGGGCAAGCTTGCTGGAGAAGAGGTCAAGAATTTAGAGACCAGGATATTGGAAGGACTAACTATGTGAATACTGAAAATACCAGGAATTTTAAAAGTATACTGTTAAAAAGAAAACAATGGGAAGATGCTAACATTTTTTTTTTAACTGATAGTGGCACCTTTCATTATCTCTGGGTGATAGAATGGAGGAGGTGTTACTTCCCATTCTATTGATAATTACAACAAAAAGGAGTAGCAGGTGATATAGCTATGTTGGCACAATCTTCAAAGGAACCAGGGGATTTTATGGAGAAGGCATGGGAAATGATCTGGAATTGGTAATGAGGTACAAGGAAGATACCTTCCCCATTTCAAGGCTCAGTGATAAGAAAGATGCCTGCGGCAGAAACATGAATCAGAAGACAGGTTTCGGTGGAGCAAGAAAGTGAAGGAAATATTCTGAGAAGAGGTTAAGAATACAGCTGAGACTCCATCAGCAAAGATGTCCTTCATTAGTTCCTATGCCTGAATACCCATAAATTTCCCTTTTTATGATATGTTAAAATAAGACAATACCATTTCTAGGAGTTGTATTAGTTTCTTGGGTTTCTATAACAAAGCCCCAAAACATAAAACATCAGAAATCTATTGTCTCACAATTCTAGAAGCTATAAGTCTGAAATCAACCTGAGCCATGCTCCCTATGAAATCTATAGGAGAGAATCCTTCATCTCCTTTAAAGTCTGACGTTTGCCAGCAATCCTTGGTGTTTCTTGGCTTGTGGACATTCTCTAATCTCTGCCTCCATCATCACACAGAGTTTTACCTGTGTGTCTCTGCCTTCTCTTCTTATTCTTATAAGGGTACCAATCATATTGGTTTCAGGGCCCACCCTATTCCAGCATGTCCTTGTCTTAACTAATTACTTTTGCAATTACTTTATTTCCAAACAAGACCACATTCTGATGTACTTGGAGTCAAAACCTCAACATACCTTTTTTGGGGGAAATAATTCAACTCACAACAGGGGCATTGAGAAAAACAGTACACCTTTTATGGAATGTGTTAATATATATACATTTTTAATAGATGGGATCTCCATATGTTGCCCAGGCTGGTCTTGAACTCCTGGGGTCAAGTTATCCTCACACCTCTGCCTATCAAAGTGCTGGGATTATAGGTGTGAGCAACCACATCTGGCCTTTGTTCACATTTTAAGTCATTCAGGTTCTTGTCTTGCTCAGTAAATGACGCCTGGTAACCCAAATGCTTAAGAAATGTCAATTTTTTATAAAATACATGACAACCTAAACAGAGAAAAGGTGTTATATGCTATGCATGTGATGTAAAGTCACAATACCGTAAGTATCTAATGATGTGGGTGATAATGCCATTGACCCTACAGGGATGGCCCTGTTGACTCAGAAGGGAAGCATTAAACTTTTACGTTGAGAGTCTTGGCCATCTTCTACCATTCTTGTAGCTCTATAATTTTAGAATGTTGATCCAACTAAGACTCATGAGCCTATGGATCTGTGAGTAGGGGAAAGCTTGTCAAAAGGTGATGCCATAATTTTTATCAGCATATTATGGCACAGATATGGAAAGGAGGGGAAGAAAAGTACTCATTTGGTTCTTTAATCACAAGTTGAAAAAGGGTCCCAAAGATTCCAGCCTCTGAGATACTCCAAAGTATTACACCCGAGGCCTTAGCTCCTAGCTGTGGCTATAACATCTCCCCTTCTTGTCTTAAATAAGTTACATAAATAACAGATGTCACTCTTCCACAATGGAGAAAACCCAGGCGATGCAGCCGTTTAATGTGTACTTACTAGATGTTGCGCTCTGTACTAGTCCCTTGATGTACTGCAAGTGGGGACCTCAGACAGGCCTGCAACCTATGCCCACTGAGGGCTGCATCTGGGAAACTGTCCTGTGATCCCATGTCTTGGAAATAAACTAACGGATGTTTCCAGTTTCTCACATCTAGTAGCAGGCAGGTACATAACAAGTCTTTTCTTCCAAATTAATGCAAATATTCTCTTTAGTTTCAATTTGACTCACTGCAAATTCTGCAGTGATGGGGTCCATATTAATTAAGTTTGTTATGCTGAGGAAAGTGATCTGATTATTTGACCCTTCTTACCTTGTCAGAATGGAGCCAGCATTTCAAAAGGGAGGGTAAAGCTGAGGTTTATTACTTGAAGGTAATGTCTTTCATGAAAGATGCAGAATCCAACTGCTTAGTAGTATATCTATCCCTCTCTATTTCCTACACAGCTGCTAAGAAATGAAGTCCCTCATTCTATTACTCTAATTGAATTCCAACTTGGGTAATTATACTATAATTAAATAAATTTTCCCCATAGCTTTAATTCACTGATAAATGGTGCTAGTCAAAGAGCTACAGTACATTCCTAGAAACACATCCCCACTACATTTCAGTGATAAGCAAAGTGATTTATATTTGGAAGATGTATGTATGAAAAGATGCACAGTTCATAAAATATTTTAGGTATCATTCATGATTACATATCCTTTGCTCAGCATGAGATAACATTAATTTCTATTATAATCTTTCATCTGATTTCTCATATGCTTAGTGCCAAAAGAAATAAGACAGCTAATTAGCATTTCTTGTTTTCAGAGCAGTTTTTGTTTCGTTAACTAGGAGCCTGTATCGATTTGTATTTTTAAGTTTTAAACACCTTTCATTATCTCTGAGTGATAGAGCGGAGGAGGTGTTACTTCCCATTCTACAGATGAAAAAAATTGAGGCAGCTTCCCAAGGCGAGGAAGCTAGTTAACTCTAGTACCAGCCTTGGAACCCAAGCTTCCTCTGATCCCCTGGTACTAGGGCTGTTTCTGTTAAACACTATCAAACACTGGGTCACTATCAATCACTTTAGTGTTACTAATGAGAAAATAAAGAGTAGCACAGTTCTAACCTGTGTTATGGGGTCATTAATTTGTCATAGAATGATTTAGCCAGGAGCTGGAGGCCTAATGACTAGGTCCTGATGCTGTTCTTGGATCACGAAATTATGAAGCTTCTTTGTGTCTGAATATTATTACACGGTACAGATGAACTGGAATAACAATTCAAAATATGGTGCAAAATAATTCAAATTTCATTTTTGTTCTAATGACCTTTCTTAAACGGTTGTAGCTTGCTTTTAATAAAAGATATTAAAGAAAACATCAAAATACTCACAAAAAGCAGCAGTAGCAGGGGTGTTATAACGATGCCCTAAAAGAAATAAAAGAAAGGATGATTATTTACCAGCGAAAGCAGGACACTTTCTTTGCCATTTTAAACTCTGAAGCATGGGAGTGCTTATCTTCTGTTTAATAAAATCTAGAAGATAAAGAGCGGAGAGTCCTAATCTTAGCTTTCCCTTCCATAATGCCTTAACATCTCTATTACAATTATTTGTATTTGGCATCATAAAAGTACAACCATCAAGCTGCCGTAGGTTCATCTTTCCTTTTGTAAACCTAAATTCCCTTCCACACTGCACATGGATCACACAGATAGAAGCTGATGCCTGGCAAGCTTCCTTACTCCAAGGCTTTCAACTCTAACTTGGATAAAATGCCCCTTTTTGAGAGAAGACAGGTGGTTTAGTCCCAGTTGGGGTCCTCTCCTGAGCAAAGACCACGTCAGTTGTGATGAATGAGATGTCGTGATTTTGTAATGCGAACTGATCTCCCCTAGGAAATGAGCTGGGATCTCAAAACTCATTTCACTTGATTAGACTCCATGTCTCCATGGTGGAAGGCAAGTCTTTCATCTAATTCAGCCACATAGGACCACCTCGGTCCCTCTGCCTCCCCTAGGCAGAAATGAGCAAAAGATTTGTTTTCTTCGATGACAGGGAACAGTTTGAGGCTGTTGCCAATGAGGCAGAATACCAGCTTTTAGGTTTCTTGAAGGCAAATCTTTAAAACTAAGTGTTTGAGTTGGGAGTTGAAATGACAGGCTTCAGTTCTGGAGCAGCAGATGATTACTTGCCCTTCTTGGTTTTTCCTTTATCTCTCAATACTTCATTATGATTTATAAAAGAAAAAGCATTTTAGATTTTTATTAATGAATTCTACTTGGAATTTTAAAATTTCATAGAATCTGTGGGTGTGTGTGCCTAAGAGAGAAAAGAGACAGAGAAAGAGAGAGAGATAGACAGACAGACAGACAAATACACATACACACACACACACAGACAGACAGACAGACAGACAGAGGTACTATACCCAGACAGTGCCCAGGATCCAGATCTGGGACTACTTCATTACTTTTGGAAGGAAAAAAGTCCTTTTGGTATTTACATGAAAGTCCCTTTGTCATAGCAGTCACTCAATTGTTTTGCATGTGCCCCAAGAGGGACGGGCTTATCTTAAATGAACAATGCTACCATGACTTTCTTGGGCATATACACATATGAACATCTACAAACAGACTTGTTTTATTGTTAAATAATAGAATGAATCCTTTTTCATTGTGCATACGTTTGCAGTTGACAAAAGAGAATACAATATTCTGATCTAAGAATCACTTTACATCCTACTTATTAAAATAGGCATTGTGGCCTATCAACTCCATTGGTATCTATGAAACAGGTTCTCCTTAACACATTTAGGAGAGCTAAATGTGCTAAATGCCAAATTAATTGATAACTTAGAAGGGCTATTGTCCTTAAGTGACTTGCACTGAGTTCAGACTTTAGGAGGAATTCCAAACTTTACAGGGCCACATGAAAATGAAAATATCTGGCTGACTCAGTCTACATGGGAGCCATCCAATTTCAAGTACATTTGTTTAAACATATAATTGAACATATACTTATATACTGGGTACTGTGTTCATCCAAGAGATTCAAGAGTGAGTACAACATGGTCCCTTTGCTTAAACAGCTTATAATCCAGTAGAGGACAATGATCTATAAACAAGGTTCAAAACAGTGATATAACTGCTGCCACCGGCACTGCCACCACTACCTGTATGCATTGTTCAGGGGCCTGAAGATTGATACCCCCCATACCTGTGCCACCGCAGCTAGCGCCCATGTGCACCATTGGGGGGCCTGAGAATAGGCCTACTCTGCCTGACTGGCACATGTGCACATCATCTGAAGGTGTGGAGATTGACATGTGCTACCACTGGCATCTGCAGGCACCATCTGCAGAACAGAGGACAGGCCAGCCCCATCTACCACCAGTGCACTGACACCTCTGCACAGCATACGGGGGCCTGGGGATTGACCCACCCTGCTTGCTACCACCAGCACCTGTGCACACCATTGGAAGGCCTCAAGAGAAGCCCACCCCATCTGTTGTCTCCGTTACTGGCACCAACATACACCCTTGAGGGGACTAAGACTAGGCCTGGTTTACCTGCAGTTGGCACCTGCACATGTCATCTGAGGGCCTGGGGATTAATCCATCCCTCCTGCCAGCACCTACTCATACCATGTGGGGGCCAGAGGATGGGCCTCCCTGTGTACCACTACTGTGCATATTATCTGGGGACCTCGGGATTGATCCACCTTCTTTGTCACCACTGGTGCTCATGTGGACTATTGGGGTGCCTGAGGAGAGACCTGTCTCATCTGCCACAGCAGCCATCAGTGCCTGTGCACAACATTCTGGGGACTGGGAATTAATCTGCCCCACCTACTGCTGCTGACGCCTGTTTGCATCATTGCTGGGCCTTAGGAGAGGCTGACCCTCTTTTACCGCTGCTTCTGCTAGCACCAATGCGCAGTGTCAGGACCCACTCTGCCTACTACCATCAGCACCTATGCAAACCATCCAGGGCCTAGGGACAGGTCCACACTGCACTCCACCACCACCACTGGGTTCCATGAACTGGACTGTCTGGAGTCCCTATCCCCAGCAATGCCTCACCACAGCCTCCATTAACAACCACAGCAGACACCACTGAGCTGATTACAGCTGAAATACAGAGACTACATTACTGTGCCCATCACGAATCAAGGCCAAGGCAATCTACCCAACCAAAACTATAGACATATCTATAGGAAAAGTTTTTCCCTACTAAAGCCAATCCATAAAATTGGAAGAAGTAACTGTTATGCCAGATGTACAGTAAGGACAAAAAAATATGAAAAAGCAAGAAAACATGACACCTCCAAAGGAACACAATAATTCTCTGGTAACAGATCCAAAGGAGAAGGAAATTTATGAAATGCCTGAAAAAGAATTCGGCATAATAATATTAAAGAAAATCAGTGAGATAGAAGAATGTTATTATCCATGGGTTTTTCTGCTTGAATACTTCTAATGGATAGTCACTGACACATGATAGTTTCTTTGCAGCTCTTCCAAGGACTTACAATATTTGTTTCTAAAATGGTAAAAGCTTCCTAGCAAATAGGAAGTATTTGCTAATTCTGGATTTAATATTCCTTCTTATTTTCTTAAGAATAGCTGTTCAAGCTAATTAAGACTGAATCACTTTATAATGCTGAAACCTTTTTTTTCCAGTTGTATTAGGAAGTGAGTCAGCCAGGAGGCATTCACTTGAGAAAAGTACCATAATATTTAATAAAGTCATCACAATTATTATTAAAACAATAAAAACTAACATTTATGTTGTACTTATGTTGGATACTATACCAAGGACTTTAGGTATGTTATTTCATGTAATCCTCACAACAACTCTCTGATGTAGGTACTATTATTATATTATCTCCATCTACTAGATAAGAAAGCTGAGCCTTAGAGAGGCTGAGTGAAGTAGGAAGAAGCAATGCCAGGAATTGGACCTCTGCTTGCTTCAGAGCCTGTGCTCTTGAATGTTTAAATAAAATCTTTGCAATCTTAAGCTATTTCCTCAGTGGTGTATTTTAAGAGTAAATCTGAGAGGAACATCGGACTCAGTATGTCTTTTTGATGACATAAAACAAATTGAGAAGTCTTCATGTCATGGCAGAGGCATTTTTTTAGAGTCAAGTTTTTGCAAATATCAGTGGTAAAAAGGGTGAGCTAAACATTTAAACTGTGTCAGCAACAATCATTGCAAGCTAGAAAATCAACTCAACATGTTATTTTCTTTTGAGTATTTGCAGCTCAATGTAATTATTTCTCTTTCCTAGGTAAATTCTCCTGAAAATGCATAAAACCAAAGGAGATAAGCACTTCTAGCAAAAGATGTTACCTCCTCCTTGCAGATTCAAGGTCAAGACGTAGTTTTAGCATCCTTGCAATTGGGATGGCGTATAACGCTTTCTGATTGCAACACCTGAAGAAGTGAAGTCACAAACTGACTGGCTTCCATTGTCTACTGAAAAAACTTTCAGAAAATCCATTAACACCTCAGATGTGAATGACTGGGTGAATGTATTTCAATGAATTTAGTGGAAAGGAAAAAAGTGTCAAATCTCAGACACAGATTTAGTTGCATCAAAATACAAACAAAAAACCCAAATAACAACAAAACAACAAAACTGTGAATGTGCTTCTCTCAGCAACAGGACTTGCAAAAAAAGGCAAAACTAAAGTGAAATTATGAAATTTTTGAAATAGAAGACGTTATCAAGAGGTTTTGCTGCAACAACTACAAAAATCACACAGATACTAAACTTGACTTTTTAGATTTGTCTCCAGGACACTGCATTAACTCAGTTTTCACAGAATAAAAAATATCAACCTAAACTTCCAGGCTATCTTCACCTTTTGTCCTGTGGTCAGTATACAATAATATCTTAAAAAGTTAGTGAAGTTTATTCTTCAAGAATAAAATGATGTTAAATCAATATTTAATGCATGAGACTAGCCAAAAAACCTTAAGCAACAAATTATAAAGAGGTGGTATAGGGAATTCTGGACACATCTAAATTTCTGGATCTGTAAAGACATGGACCTATTCCTGGATTGTGGTAATCCCATTAAAGTGATGTCACCCTCTGAGGCCTTATAGGAATGGCAGCTGGCTTATCCTAATGATGTTACATTTAATTAAGCAAACATTTATTGAGTACTATGTATCATACATCACTGGTGCTGAGGGAAAAAGGTGAATATATGGTTTATGCCATAAACAGTTCCCACTAGAGAAAGCTAAATAAAGCAGTTATACCTTGTTATTCTCTAACTTTAACACTTTGGTCAAAAAAAATACCTCTATCATCTTATTCTCAAAATGAGTATGACTTTTTATCAGGTCAAAATTAAGGGTCTTATTCATTTACATTAAACACTAGCTTATTAGATTTAGCCTATTATCTTTTT